AACTCCTTTTTGAAGACATTCCTAGCTAGAACAACCTATTGCTAATTACAACAACTTGACATCAACGCTTTTCAACGAAAAGCTAAAAAGAATACATTAGGTAATTGAAGAAACTTTTATAAAATTTTTATCCCTTGCTTAGAACATAAACATCACTTCACAAGGAATTAGAAATTTTTGCTCTCAATGATTATTAATTTGAAATTAAATGTATATGTTTATTATTTTTGTGAAAGGTTTATATATTAATGACTATTGTTATTATGTAGTTATAATTGTTATTGGAACAGTTGAAAGCTTTTGGTAATCGATTACATCATTTGGTAATTAATTATTGATCCTTTCTGTTGAAAATAATTTTAGAATTAGATACTTGACTGAATAAGTAAGTCATCAATAATTCCATTAGGTAATCAGTTACTTTATGTCATTGTTTTAATTATTTTAAAACAGGAGTTTTAACAAAAGTTGTATGTAATCAATCACATCATTTGGTAATCTATTACTGTTTGTATTTTTCACAAATTTTAGCAAATAACAACTTATAAATTTTGAAAATTTTAATGTATTTAAAATACTTTGTTTGATTTTAAAAAGAGGTTTATTTAAACACCCTCTTTTTCATTTAGCTAATAAATTGATGATTATTTAGTATTATATAGTGTTAGAGTGTATTGGAATGATTTAAAGGTGTTTTGATAGAAATCTGGTGCAGAGGATCTTGCTCAGGCGAGACAAATCTCGCTTAGGTAAGACAAAGTGCCCAGAACTACATGTTTTCAAGGCAATCTCGTTTAAGCGAGATAGGATAAATTCAGCTCAAATGTCACCTTGCCCAGGCGAGAAGTAATCTTGCTCAGACAAGTAGTGATCTCGCCCAGGCGAGCTGAGTTGCTCAAGCGAGAACTCATAGGAAAAATGTCCAACTCTTTGGACATTATCTCGCTTAAGCGAGCTCGACCTCGCTCAAGCGAGCGTATCAAGAAATGCTTGTCGAGACCACTATTTGGTGGTCTCGCTCAGGCAAGTTATACCTTACTCAGGCAAGAATTGCATCGCTCAAGCAAGTTGTTCCTTGTTCAAGCGAGAGCACGCGAGGTTGGGGGGTATTTAAGAGATTTTCAGCATGAAAATTTTATTTCATTCCAAACCTCACATTTTTTTTCTCATTTTCTCTGAACTCTTACTACCTTCTCTCAAATAAAACTCCTTCAAACTTCGATCACCCACCAAGTCTGAGCTTGGATGTTAAATCTAAATGACTCCAAGTAAGTTTCTTTGGATTAAACTTTATTTTCTCCTATCATTTCTCATATTTTTCATTCTTCATAGATATCTCTTGGTAATCAGGAGAACTTCTATGGTTGAACTCAAAATCTTTGTCAATATCTCTCCACATACTCCAATCAAGGTAAGAAGAGCTCTATTTTTTCGTTCTATTAAAGTGTTTATTTTGTGCTCATTAGAGTACTATGACATAGGAATTTTGTGAAAATATGTGTTTGAAGATAATATTTATGAATAATAGCTGAGAATATACATGTTTGGTTGTTCGACTTGAATGGCTGTAATATGAATAATAGGAATTCCTTTTGACTTCCCTAGAAGTAGGATACACCAGACTCTTTGTATGTATAGAGGTAATGCTAGAAGTCCAACAACTTTCACGTATCTATTCACCTACCATGACCATAATTCTCTTGGAAGACCATCCAGATGGATCTTTGAACTCGTCACTGGCACAGAGGCCAGAGCTGATTCAAGCAATCTCTACCTGGGATCTAACGAGGATCTGGATTCAGAAGACTTAGTTGAGATAGAGAGTTGGCACAGAGTGGATGAGTAGGACCAGTCTTCAGTAGTTGGTTTTGAGGAAGACTGCTCTAGGACTTGTATATGTATATATGTTGTAAATATTTTGATGATGTGATTATTATTTTAAGTCCTATATATCTTGACTAATGGTTTGTAAATTAATATACTCAATCTATGAAATGCATGTTTAAAATTTCTTAACTTAAATCATTCAATTATGTTTTAAATTCAGCCTTTGAAATTACTGTCGTATCATTTATATTAATTTATATCAAATTAATTGAACAAGTACTATACCTTAGAGAAAATTTCATTAATTTGCTATAATTATCTTCATAATATTACGAAAATTGATGTTCGGATTCATAATAGTAAGAATAATTTATACATTGTACGGATTTTTGAGAATAAGGTGTTACAGTAATTATATGAAATATGCCTATATGAGATGTTATGATGAAGCTTGATATTGTATTTAAAGTTGAAATGTATAAACTATATGTCGAGATATGTATATGAACATTTTGTGGCTGTTATGAAGCATGACGCTAGTTTGAATGAGTAAATGAGTAAAACTATACTCTAATGGGATAAGTAGTGTCTTAGTCTGGAAGTGCTTTACTAAACACGATACTATAAGTGGAGAATGAAGGGATTCTTGAGATAAATATAAGTATTGGATAGGGAATGGATCTAATGTGAATAGTTACAAAGATATGCTAGGGGTATACAGCTCGGAGACGATAGAAAATATGAGGGAAACGTAAGGTGGTGAATGACATTCGCGTATGTGTACACACTCTTTCTGAGAGCGAATGTGTCACATGGCCTCATACTTCTTTCCTGACTAGACTCCTAACTGTACTTTTGTTAAGTGGCCTGTTATTGTATACGTTATATTTGTGTACATGAGCTAACTGGCGACTATTTACTTAGTTAAGTAAGACCTCAAGAAATGCTAGAGGCATCATTGTCTATGATCACAGTGTACTGGGAGTGCATATTGGAAGGAGAAAACTGAATAACTTATAACAAATTGTGGAGTTGTGTATATGTGATTATGTTGGTAATGTGAATTGGTTGTGAAAATGAATATGTTTTCTTTATATTATAACTATAATTTTTATGATGTAATGATTTATGAATGAAAAATAGACGCTTATCCTTACTGACATTTTCAAGAAACATGATGACGACGCCTCAAGAAAGGATTAAGCTGGTAGATAGTTCTGTACAATGTAGGCTTAATTATATATTTAATGAGTACCAGAGGATATGCCACTTTAAGTTTGCTGTACATGTTGATGATATACCTAGAAATATTATTATGTTAGAGATAGAATTATATTATAGTGTCCCTTTTGACTCTCCATAGAATTCACCATACCTTTTGTATATATATAATGATATGGTTAGGGCCCCAGATGCCATAACATACCTTTACCTTGGATCAGACAATGAACTTGATTGAAAATTTAGAGGAGATGGAGAAATGGCATAGGAAAGACTAGCACCAGGTCCTCAGTATTTATATTATAAATAAGAGTTTATTATTTAGGAAGTGAAGCATTAGTGGAACTACTCTCCTTCATAATTCGTCATGTATATACTTTAAGATTAAAATTGACAGAGATGTGTGAACTGCACTTCATCTTGCTACAAATAATTTTACTTTTTATACATCTTTGATAATTTTATTCTAAATTTTGGATATTAAAATTATTGCTTATATTTTCTTTAATACCTTATATACATTTTTAATTTTTTTGTAAATATCTATTTTTACATTTAAAAATATTACCTTAATCTATTTTAATTTTTTCAAATTTATAATTTTTAAAATACATTTTTGTAGTCTAAACCACATGTATTTTTTATTGAAGGCATGTTTGAGCCTACTAGAACGGTATGGGTATTGAAACTTTTTTTCTGAGCATTTAATACAATTGTATTCACTAAAACTGAAACTTGAAACCACAAGTTAATTATTAATATATATTAATTATTAACATTTAAATATTTAATTAAATTTTTAGCACTATAAGTAAAGTATTATTTTAAAATAAATTATATTTTAAAATTATTTAATTTTATTACATCTTTATCATTTGTATACATACTATTTATAGCTATAAAATAAATTACAATAATTTTAATATATATTATTATTTATAATATATAATATTTTAAAATAAAATATCATTGCATGATTTATTAAGGTAAATAAAAGTAAACTTTGACTTTAGTATATGATATATTATTGTTCAAATCATTCTCCAAATTTAAAATTTTAGTTTCTAAAATTTACAATCATCAATGACATCAGTCCTTATCGTTAAAAGACATTAACACAATAATATGTCATATTAATTGATAAGTATTAGTTTATTTTGGACATAAAAAGATGTTATTTTATAAAATTCAGTTAATAAAATTCATTCTTTTGCTTCGTCTTTCTTTTATTATATCTTTTTTCTTCTTTATTTTACAGCGTCTTTTTTCTTTATTCAACCATTCTTGCAATGGCATTCACAATGCAAAATTTTTGTCTCCAATTTTGCTATCTAAATCACCAAATCTAAGCTTTGCATAAAGATTTTAGTGAAAGTTTAAACGAATTAAATAATATATAGTAAAAATTAACTGATTTTATTGAAGATGAAAGATTATTTTTTATCATTGGAGAAAATGATGGGATTAATAAAGTATAAGTTGTGGAGTGAATTGGGATAAAGGTTGAATTTGAGGATAATTTTAATGGATGTAGTAGTAAAAAGAAATAATATTTAGATTGATAAGTATTTGAAAAAAAAATTATATTAAAAAAATAATAAAACAAATGAGATTACTACGTTGAAAAAAAGACAAAACATGTACTATAAAAGTTATCACAAGTCAAAAAAATAAAAAAGAATTTAGTGAAAAAAGCAAAATAAATATTTTATTGAATTATTTTTAAAAAATTATAAATTAATTTCATAAATAAATCATTCGAGACAAATGATCATTCCGTTAAAAAAATATCAAGGAAACATGATTAGAGGTTCCGTTGTTCCATTTGCTGTGCACGTGACACGTGCACTGGGATCCATTTGGGAGCATGATTCATTTAGTATCATAAAAATAAAAAAATCTTGAGAGGCCCCACTAATATAAAGTACCCCACCTCACCGCTCAAGGAACTCACCCTCACCACCAGCGTCAGATAGATTCTGCATCTTCCGCCACTAACCAACAAAAGCTGATCAAACGAGGAAACACCACCACTGTGTCTCCCTAGCCAAACTTCACCAGTTTTCAAGTGATGAAAGCCCTCACCAGTTATTGTTCTAAGACCACCGTTGAGAGTCTAGGATCTCTGTCTCCCAGAGTTTCTATTGGTGTTTCTGATAGACGCGAGTTCTGTTTTTCCCTGCACTCTAGAAATGAGATAAAAGGATGCAACTTTTGGGTCCTGAAATTGGTCCAAAACAAGGGTACTTACCCTCTTCATGCTGTGCCACCAAAAGACCAGGCATGTTTCTTTCTCTGCTTATTTTCCCGTTTTGTTTTTCCTTGTTTGGATTATCATGGGTTCTTGTTCTAGTCTTGTGAGGTGTTTGTGTCTGTCTGTTTGGAACTATATTTCTGTTTCTGTTTCTTTTTCTTTTTGGTGCATCTATTTTTTTAAATTGATACTTCGTGTACTGTAGTCTAACCACTGAAAATTTGAGTTACCAAGTTTTCTCTCCCCTTTTGGTCTCATTTTATATTCTAAATATTCTACCTTTTCTATGAATTTGCATCGATCTAAAATTTGTTGCTGAGTGCTGACCATTTTTACTGCTATACTTGTTAGTTCAGATTCCCTCATCATTTTTTGTTTTGGTTCCCTTTCGAAGAATGATTATACCACTTTAAATGAATTTTACTTTTATTTTGCTAAGTATTTTTTTTTATAGGTAGGCATGATTCTTTCCAGCATATTTCTATTTGAAGTTTTTTACTATTTCTGTGGCGATACTATTGGAGTCTCATCACTGATTTGAGAAATTATTTCCCTAATTCAAGAGGACATGAGCCAAACTAATTGATTATGCTTATAGCGGGAAATTTGTTAAGAAAAGGTTATCTGAATGTTGTATATACATTAAATAAATTGATAATATATAAGATTTTGGCATATTTGATGAGAGATTGTTTTGGTCTTAATATCATGTTGCAGGTGGAGTTGGAAACTGCAGAGCCTCAAGCTCAACAAAGTGAACATACAGGTGGGTTCTAGTTTCTTTTTATGATTTTTCTACTGCATATTCTGTAGAACTCAAAATCGAAACGTTGTAATCTGTTGAGCAGATGAAACAAAGCTTTTTCGTGTAGCATTTCAGTTACAAAAGAATTGTAACTTCGGTGAACAGTTTCTAGTAGTTGGAGATGATCCTGTGCTTGGTTCATGGGATCCTTCAGATGCATTACCAATGACATGGTCCGATGGACATGTATGGACTGTTGAGTTGGTGAGTAAAATCTGTTCAGAATTTGAAAATATTCTCTGATGGAAAACTTTTCTGAATTTTGTTTGTGCTTTCCTTTATGTGATCAGGATGTGCCTGCTGGAAAGTTAATCCAGTACAAGTTTATACTGAAAGGAAAAGGAGGTAATATTATTTGGCAACCAGGCACAGATCGAATTATCCACACTTGGGAAACTACGAACCGGATAACTGTCTGTGAAGATTGGGAGAATGCCGAACTTCAGAAGATTATAGAGGAACCTCAGGTTGATCAACTTCAGAAAATAATAGAGGAAGATCAACTTGCTAATTCAAATGAGGAACCTCAAGTTAACTCAGAAGTGTCAACTTTTACTGAAAATTTGGATGGTGCTCAAGAGAGTCTGCAAATCAATGCATCTGAAATATCAGGCATTGAAAATACCGGAACTCATGTAGAGGAGAAATCACTTACTGAACCAGTCCTGCAACAAATCACTGGTGATAGTATTTCTTCCTCATTGGAGAAGCCAATGGCTATTGTTGCAGAAAATATAGGTGCCTCAGAATATCTCATCGATGGTACAAGCCACAAAAAGAATATTATTCAACAGAATGAAAAATCTGCAGATAGTCTGGAAAATGATGATATAATATATGATTTTGGACACAACGGAAGTGCCACGTCAATCGGGAATCAGGAAAGGACAAATTTTGAGAGCAACTTATTTGATTTTGAAGGAGGTCCTGTTCTTGTTCCTGGCTTGATACAACCAACTGTGCCAAGTGATGAAGATGGCCAAGATGAAGTTCAAGAAATGACTACCATGGACACTTCAGTTGGAGCTTTTGAAACTCAGGATCAGAATATACCAGAGGTAAACACTTGATGAGTGTGACCTTTCCTTTCTCCTCCTCTTATAACCTTTTCCCTACTTTACTTGTCCACAACTACCCTTGGCAGAGATTTGTTTGATTGTGTTTCTTTTGAAGAACAAGTTGTTTGGACGGTTTGAAATCCTTTGAGAGGATAAATGATTAAATAATAAACAGAAGTATCCAGTTGAGTTTGTATCAAAATCTGTATTTATGAATGAAGGGAATTTTGATCAACTCTGGCGCATCAGCTTGTTTATTACATACATAATGAATGCATCTAAAGACCAATAAGGGAAGGAGGAAAAAAATGTTTACAATTTAATTGTTATCATTGATTAAATAGATGAAGTGCTCTAACAATTATGGTAAACAACAGAAGTGCCATGCTATATTCTCTTGAAAGCTGACTTTTTGGTGGTTCTAATAACAAAAGCCATAATAACACTCACCAGTTATTCAGAATCTGGAACTGGTTAGAAAAACTTAATCAAGCATTTCCATTTAGCGTTGCTACTGACCCCACTTCATAAATACAATAACTGTTTAGCATTGGCCTCAAGAATCTAACGCGTTTGCAATAAATTTTTGAAAAGTGTAGGGCTTCACCAGGGATGGGCAGTGTCTACCATTTCTTAGGGCAATGTATAGAAACTTGCCTTACGTGGAAAAATTGTTAGCCATGCCTTAAGTGGTCTGAGCGTTAGTGAAAAATACATATAAGACCAATTGTTAGAGGCAGATAGAGAAACCAAAGAAAAACTAGGCCAAATCATTAAGAATGGTTTGTCCACAAACATGATTTAATATAGAATATCATGACATCGTTTGGTTGATATAGTCAACCCTATTTAATGAGATGGTCATGGTTTAAGGTAACGTGTAATTTGCTTTCTTTAACTCATGAAGCTATTAAATAGTTTAAGCTAGCGTTAATATCTTTTCAATGTTATTTTCATGTGCTTAAACTTAAAATGTTCAGTTGAGTAAGGAGCAAGAATCCGATGATGACACAGCCCAAGAGATAAATGCAACCATGAATAATGAGCCAGAACTTCTTTACAATGAAAATGAAGAGCAGTCTCAAGAGATGGAAGATAGGTCAAACTACCAGCAAGTTGATGATAATAATCCCTTGCAAAATGACATCAAATGGGGCCAGGAAACGGTAAAGAAATTTCTAACAAAACTTGGATTCCTTTGATGCCAAACTTCACAGAACCACTGAAAGAAACTTCATTGAAACTGAATAGGAGCTCAAGATGATGGCTATTGGTGAAGATAATGTTGTATACTATGTTGTTGTATTACTTTAGACTTTCATTCTTTCAGTTTTGGCCTCTTTTGTAAAGTAGTAGTAGCAGATTGGCGAGCAATAGAGAGCTTTGGTTATGTATAAGATAATTATTTGCAACATGTATATGTTAGTAAGTTATATGAAGTGCTTTTTTTTTTGTTTTACATTTCATTTGTTTGGTTTAAAATTAGGACAAAATATACGTTTAGTCTTCACATAAATATTTTGTTGCTTCATTATTTAGCAAATATAACATATTTAGTAGAAGACATTGCTTATTTTTTATATTTGTTAATGTCTTATAGTATGATAAAGACATAAAAATAAGTTTTATAAATACAATAATTAATTTATAAATAAACATTAATCATCAAAGATTAAATATGGATTTTATCATTGAGTATGTGAAAATGTAGATGTTATGTACCTAGAATTGTATGCGTCAATTTTAATTTATTTAAATAAGATTTCATTTTAAAAAATTCATAATTTTTTATTTAATTTCTCATTTTAAATTTTTTATACATAAATTTTTTTAAAATTTTTTTATCAATTTTTTTATTAATAATGTTATTTTTCTATAGTGTATATTTATATAATATATAACTTAATCCATGTAATATAAATGAAAGTACTTGACAAATAATATAAATAGAGTAAAATATTTAGCAGAATTATTTTATTGTACAGTTTATTGTATGTATAATTTAAACTATAAAAGTACTTAATAAATTACATGTTTTTATTATAATAATATTTTTCTATTTTTATAATTAATTTTTTAAAAAATTAAATATAATTTTTAATATATAATTTTATTAGTTTATCTTAAATGAAAATTTTTATTTTAAGAAAAATTTAGAAAAATATTTTATATATTGATTTTTAACATTTTAATCAAAATTAATAAATAATAATTTTTTAATAAAAATATAAAATTTAATATTATTAGTATATCTGATCATGTAACACCTTATAAAATTTAATAAAAAATATTATATATAATCTTTTATTATGTATCTTTTAAAATTGAAGTTAAAAAATTATATATATATATATTAAAATAAATTTTGATATATTTTTATTTATTGTAATAATTAATAGTATTAATACATTTGTTCTGTAATATTTTGTCATTTTAATAACAAAGTATTATTATCTATAATTTTTTCATTAATAGTCATTAAATAAATGATCGGTAGAAAAATCGAGAAAATGAGTAGATAATCATTGTAGACGATACAAATACCCTTATACCCATGCAAAGTTCGGGATAACATGCTGCCTCAGCTGTCGTTTCCGAATTCCAAAGCGGTACTGCAATCAAGGTCAATAGACACTAAATTTAGATATCCTTCTACAATTAAATATCGGGAGTGTTTAATTTTTTCTTATTAATAATAAAAATTTTAAACATCAATTATTTAAATAAAAGTAAAAATAAATACAAAGAAAATAATCACACACACTCTTGAATATTAAGATAGATTTAAAAATATAAATGATGATTATTTTTAATAATTTTTAATTTATAAAATTTAATTAAAATGTTCTCATAAAAAATTAGAAAAATAATAAATAAAATTTTATTAAATTAAATATTTAATTTATCATGTTTTTCTTCGATTTTTGTTACTGCAGACTTAGGACTCGTTCAGATAACACTGGAAAATTAAAATCAGTTTCTCCTAAATAATAAAATTTTATCAACTTTAATTCTTACAATTAAATTTAGTAAATAAAAAATAATAAATATTACATTTTATAAAAATATATTTATTATATTAAAATTTTAAAAATATTATCAATATCTCTATAAAGTTTATTATTATTATTATTAAAATTATTATCATGCATTTAAATTTAACTTTAAGTAATGAAGTTAAATAGTTTTTAAATTTGCAATACAAAATTATAAAAAAATGAAATATATTATAATCATGTTAGACCGTAAAAAACGATACTTATCAAAACTGCTTCGAAAATTTAAACTGACAGAGGTCTATGATATGTGTGAGTTGACAGCGTACGGCAGTGGGAGTTGTCACATGTATCTTGTGACGAGAAGACTGGAATCCATTATCCGATCAAGTAAGTTTTCACTAGTATTTTTATTTATTTATTTTAAAAATATATATAAATAAAAAATTTAATAATTTTATTAAAATTTTATTAATTTCAATCTTTAAGATTAAAAATAAATAACTAATAATAATAAAATTTTATTAAAAAAATATTTATTATATTTTTATAATTTTAATATAATAACTATGTATTTTTTTATAAAAATTTTCTATTTATAAATAAAAAACTTAACCTTAATAACTGAAGTTAACAAAATATTTTTATTAAAAATTATATTAAATTTATTAGTTTATTTTTTATTATTAATTTTTTTCTTTAATATTTAGACTACTCAAATATAATTTCTATTCATATTATCTGATAAAACAAATTATTATAATTCATTTGTTTATATAATTTTTTTAAAATATTAATTTTATTCTTTAAATTTTTTTATCATTAACATTTTTAATATTATATGACAAAATTACTCTTTTTCTCTCTTAATTTTAAGGTAAAATTTACTTTTATCCTCTAACTTTTATTTATTTATTTTTACCTTCAAAGTATTTTTTTTTTCACGTTAATCTTTTCCGTTAGTTTTGTTACATAAACTAATAGATATATCATATGTGGTGTTAAAGTTGTTTAACGTTGTTTATGTAATTCTATGTGAACTTTTTTATTTAAAAAATTATTAAAAAATTATGAAAATTTTCTCTTTTCCCTTCTCCTCTCCTTCCTCTTTTTGCAGCTCCACACCCCTTTCATCCAACCCACCAGCCCTATCTCCCCTTCCTACAGCTCTATTTTTCCTTACTTGCAATTTTTCCTCCCCTTTCTCTCACCAGCCCTCCCCTTCTTGTTCCCCTTTTTTCTCTCTAAAGCCTTCCTTCTCTTTTCTCATTCTCATCTCTATAACTAGAAATAGAAATAGGCCAAGTCATCTGACAAAAGTCTACAACTTAGCCTTTTTAAAGCCTAGCTCGGCCTAGCTTATTTGATTAATAGGCTTAATTTAGGCTTTTTAAAAAACTTAATTAATTAAATACGTCAGGCTTGAGTTTATGAAAAAAGCTTATTAGGCCTATTAGAATTGCCTATTTAAAATTTATAATAATATATTAAATAATTTTATATAAAAATTATAATATAATAATATATTAAATCAATTAAATATTAAAATAATAAAATCTTAAATTAAAAATGTTAATTCATTTTGTTAGAGTTGAAGAAGATCTCTACTACAACAATGTGAATGAGGCAGGTTGCCGCCGGTATACAATAATGAGAATGGGGCGGGTAGCCGCCTGTGTACAATAATGAGAATGGGGTAGGTAGTCACCAGTGTACAAGAATGTGAATAGAGCGAGTAATCGTTGGTACGAAATACTGGGGCATGCCAACACCGGTGTAATATGCTGTGAGTTATGAATATGAAATGTTGTGGGTGCCATAAGTGCACCGATGTTTAGTTGAAATGAAATTGTATTGGAATGTTGCTTGTGAGTATATTTTCATACACCTGTCTAAGTGTATTTAAAGTAGTTTGAAGGTGAGACTCTATAGTTGACTTTGTATTTTGGTAGTGTAGAGTACTCATCCTTACATTCATTTTTCAGGTAATCAAGAGAATTAGCATCGGACTTAGTGAAGGGATAAATGAACTGCTATAGGGCTTAGGATTATTCAATTGGAAATTGTTGTATTTGAACTAGCCTTGTGACAGTTGTTTGATATGAACTTGTAACCTTCCTCATTTTTGAAATATTTTATGGAATTTATTATTCGAGTTTGTGAAATTGTTATTTATTTGAAATTAAAATTAAGGTGTTACAAATTGTAACAAGAGGGTCGTCCAATATATAATAAATAGATTTAGTGTAAGTGTGATGATTAGGAAATAATGGTTTAACTTTATGAGAATTTTTCCACCAAATTTTTCTTGATTCAATTCCTAGATGATGAACTGGTCCATGATGTCTAATGGAATTTGAATAATGTGAGCTGCTCCCACCTACTTTCTTGGCACTTCTAATTTGCCTCAAAGGCTCAACTGCATGTGACAGGTTCACAACCTTTGATTTGTCAATAAAACCATGGTTTATTGAAGCATCAACTTTCTTTTTATTGTGGAAATATAGAATGTTAGAGACATTTTCACGCTGGAAATATAGAATCAATCTGCTGAGATTTTAAAAAAAAAATCTTATACTAACCTCAACTTGATGATTATCATAACTAGCATCAATTATCTTTCCTTTGTTACTATTATTAACTTTTTTTTGCCAATTATCACTACATTCTTAGGAAAACATAAAGAGCATAAATAGATACACTCAAAGAAACATTCATACAACAAAAACAAATAAGAGAGCAAGAAAAACATATCAAAGGAAACAACAGTACTTGTGTAGCTTTCAAACTAAACAAAAGAAAAACCAAACCAATTTTACTCTAATTATACAAACGAAGCATCAATGATATTCCTTATTTTGACCGCACCGGTATCCCTATTTGACTATGTGTCAATGTAATCCACTTGAAATATAAATACAACAAATTATTTTGTATTTGAATTCTAACTAAATTAAATGGGCTCATGATTAAATGTTGGCCTCTAATATCTGAACATACTAGTAGCTTCACAAAAACAAAGAGTATTATGTATGGAATCTCTTTAAACAAATCTCCCCTCTATTTTGAAAAACTACGCAAACTCTCCTTATCGTAAAATCATACCTTTGTAAATTTTCCTTGATTTTTCTTTCTTTTTCACAAACACAATGTTTTATTCAAGGCAAATAAGAGTGATTTAATCAAAAACATAATTCTGCTACAAAAAACTTCAAAAGAAAATGCTCAAAATCCAAAACTTCATATGCAATAGAGAAAGGCTAAAATGAAATCAATACTGTGACGTAATTTTTCATAATCAAAATAGAAGACCTGTTGTAAATTAGGATTCAAGATATTTTTGTTTTCTCGACTCTAGCAACAATTGTAGTGTATCAAAACATTAACATTAAAAATGTTTAGGTTCAACTTATATATTTTATTTAATAAATCAATTTATAGTTTGTATTTCTTTTAATCTAATTCTACTATTTTAACAAATAATGATGTCCTAATTAACAAATTTTAATATCAAATATTTTAAAAAGAAAAT